GGAGGGGTGGTGGTGGAAGAGATTACACAGATAGGGATGGGCTGACCTGCACATAAAGCAGAGAAAATACTGTAAAGATTGTATCTTTTTATTTTTATGTTTTTTAAAATTAGGGCCTGAAGTGAGTAGGAATTGTTTTGAAATCAGTGTTTTAAAGGCTTGCTGCATGTTTTAAAAAGCAAGTAACCTGACACTTATGGTATGCATCGTGTTTGTACAGCTGTTTGAACAAGTGGTAGCTGAAGTGTTTGCAGACGAAGGTTGCAGGGGTTGTGTACAGATGCAGCTGGGTTGCATTGGTCCATGGACTAGTGACCAGTTTTCAATTACAAAGGTGTGTGATTGGTTTTTGGGTAACTAAACAGCTCTGGTCTGGGAACAAGATAGAGAGAAGTGATTTAATGTCTACTGACACAGAAGCTAGGTCTGTTTTCTGCATTAAAAAATATTTTAAACCTGAAAAAAAAGTTTATCATTCCTTCAGCAGTTGTCATGACTCGTAAGCTGTGACTTTTAACTCATAAGTCAGAGACCTGTTATAAGTGAAGCAACCACATTTTTATCTCTTGCAAACCAGTGGAAGTATTTGAAGAAAGACAACTGAAAAGCAACGTTATGGCCAGCATACAAATCGTAAAGATTTGTTCAAAAACCTGTGAATAGAAACCACTGAACTGCCTCCTAGTTTTCCTTTGCCATGACCTATTTTTCCTGTCTGTTTGTGTCTGTACGGAAGGCAAAGTTATTGTGGTGATTTGGGTTTTATTTTATCATGTTATTTTCCAATGGTTTATAATTGTTTACCTGTAGCTAAAGTCTAATTACTTGCAATAAATAGTCATTCTTGTTCAGTACAGAAGCTTGGTCCATGCTTTCTACCAAACTAGATCTGCAAATCAGGTAAACTGGGAAACAATGTGTACTTATATTCAAATGTTTAACTTCTGTGACAACTCCAAGAACAATGGAGCTGGATTTACACTGGGCTACCACAGTGAATTATGATAGTACTATTTTTATTATTCACCACATGGAATGTTGGTTGGATTCGTGCTCAGTTGAGATAACATACCATATACACTCATGTAAGAGTTGAATTTTTTAGACTGAAGGTTAAATTTATGAGGTCGACTATTACATGGATGCTGCTTTTGAGGGACTGGAATTCATGCTACAGTCCAAAATACTGTTTCATTAGCAGAAGCCCAATTGATCTCTGAACAAATAAAGGAAAAAAAACCACAGAATTACGGTAATGCATCTTAAACTTTTGCACCAAATTCTTCCAATTTCCTCCATTTTCTCTCGTCTACTAGTTATTCAAATTATGTTTTTATTTCTGATTTTAAAAAAATTCAGACATTTGACTCTCATAAGTCTCACCGATCATTTATACACAGGACAATGCCTTGACTCACAAATGTTGATCTGTTATCCGTGAAGAACTAGGTTCGGCTTTTACAGAGATGTGAAAAATTCAAGATTTTTTGGCCAAAAATAGCGGGTTGACTTTTCCATGAGATTGACTTTTACTCGAGTATATACAAAAAGGGAAAGGTAACTGGAGACTTTGCCTAGTTTCAAGCTAAGTGGAAGAAATCTACAGTGGTCCTCAGGGCCTTGTGGCAGAAAGCAGTCAGCGGGGTTAGCCTGGAAGTTAAGATGGCAACCTGAATGTGGAGCTGAAACATCTATAGTACTGAAGTATTAAACAAAATATGGAGTGTCACGTAGTGAAATGCTAATGAAAACATCCTTATAAAAGTACCTCGTAGAATAGCTGGAGCACTGATGAGCATTTTCACTGGAACCTAGGAGGTTGAGAGGTGACTTCTTAGAGGTTTATAAAATAATAAGGGGTATAAATAAGGTGAATGGCAGTTTTCTTTTCCTTAGGGTGGGGGATTTCAAGACTAGGGAGCGTATTTTTGAGGAGAGAGGAGAAAGATTTTAAAAAGACATGAAGGGCAATGTTTGGTGGATGTGGGTACAATTACAACATTTATATATATCCAAAGACATTTGGATAAGTACATGAATAAGAAATGTTTGGAGAGTTATGGGTCAAGCACAGGGTGGGGTTGGGCCTAGTTTAGTTTGGGATTATGGATCAACATGGACTGATTGGACCAAAGGGCCTGTTTCCGTGCTGTATGACTCAATGACATCATATTTTCAAACAGCACAGGTGTTATAGCAGCATGGTGGCTCAGTGGTTAGCACTGCTGCTTCACAGCACCAGGGACCTGGGATTCCACCTTCAAGTGACTATCTGTGCATAATTTGCACAGCACATTCTCCCTGTCTGTGTGGGTTTCTTCCACGTGCTCTGGTTTCCTCCCACAGCCCAAAGATGTGCAGGTTAGGTGGACTGACCATGCTAAATTGTCCATAGTGTCCAGGGAGGTGTAGGTTAGGTTGATTAGCCATAGGAATTGCAGGGTTACAGGGACAGGGAGGGTTGGGTCTGGGTGGGATGCTCTTCAGAGGGTTGGTACGGAGTCGGGCTGAATGGCCTACTTCCGCGCTGTAGGGATTCCATGATCCCTAATTTCCTGGCCAATATGGATCACATTCACTGTCACAATGACAGCTGATTTAGTTATTATCACATTGGAGTTTGGAACTTGCTGTGCACAAACTAGCCGTATTTTCTGTCTGACGACAGACTACAATTCATTGACTGTAAAGTGCTTTCAGAGTTTATGGCAGTTGATATGTTAATGCCAATCTTGATTCCTCAGGGGAATATTGTGCTTCCTGTGAATGGGAAAGGATAAACATGTTAGTGGAGAAAATATACCAGTTCACAGTGACATTGGCCAGTATATTGTGTATAGGACTCTTACTGTAGGATCACGAGTATTTCAGTGAATAGGAACACAGCATGCTGACACATCAAGAAGTTTTGATTAAGCTGAAAAGTTGAATTTATTGTGAGTTATAAATCTATATAGATGATGGATAAAACACCAGATAAACAACACAATTCTCAGCTGACATCAAACACGGAATCAACCAAAATAACAAAACATTTGAAAAGGACTCAAGTTTGCTTCCAGAACATGGAATGGATCTTGGAAGAGTGTAAGGTGAACATGCCACTCTGTTATTACATTGAGGTATGATGGACTGAGGGAACTCAGGTCTGTGCAGACTCACCCCAACTCCCTCACATATTCAGGGCAATCGTCCTCCCAGATGGGAGAGTACGGATATTCCCCATGGTATTAATCAAACATCTGTCATCTAAAGAGAATCATCTAATTCACATCACCAACTAAAGCAGGGACAATTCTACATCCTGAGAGTTGGTTCACTTCACTAACACACACTGACATCAGGGGAAATTCTCAGACTACTACGATTGATAGGTTTATTGTCTGGAAAGGGGATTAAGGGTTACAAAGTTGAGATATGTAAATACAGTTAAGATACAGATTTGTCAATGATCTAACTGAATGATACAACAGGCTGAAGGGATTACTCCAGTTCCTACATTCTTTAATTTCCTCTTGCTTACTCTCTCCACTTTCATCTCCAGGAACTAGTGGTCAGTGTCATCCTCTTCAACATTTACTTCGGTTTTATCTTCACAAAAGAGGGCACAAGTAAACTCCCAGAAATATTTGGATTAGGGAACCAAGGATCTAGTGAAAGAGCAAAATTGAAGGAAATCAGTATTAGTAAGAACATAGTGCCAGGGAAATTAATGGGGTTGAAAGCTGACAAATCACCAAGGCCTGATAATCTACATCCCAGAGTACTGAAGGAAGTGGCTCTGGAAATATTGGATGCATTGGTTTTCATCTTCCAAAATTCTATAAACTCTGAAGCAGTTACTACAGAAAATGAAACCCCACTATTTAAGGAGGGAGAAAAAACACAGGGAATTATAAACCAGTTAGCCTCATATCAGTAGTGGTAAAAATACTGCTGTCTATTATAAAAGGCGTGATAACAGGACATTTGGAAATGTAATGGGATTGAACAAAGCCATAAAAAGGCAAATGATGCTTATCAAAGCTATTGGAGGTTTTTTGAATACGGCATATTTGAATCTTTAGAAGGCTAGTGATAAGGTCCTTCGTAAAAGGTTGGTGGGCAAAATTAAAGCACATGGAATAAGGGTTAATATATTGGCATGCATTAAGAATTGATTTGACAGACAGAAAACAGAATGGGAATAAATGGGTATTTTTCCCAAGTGGCAGGCGGTGATTAGTGGGGCACTGCAAGGATCAGTGCTTAGGGTCCCAGCTATTCACAAAATAGATAAATGAACTAGATAAGGAAACCAAATACAACATTTCCAAGTTTGCTCAGGATACAATTTGGTGGGATTATGGATTGTGAAGAGCGTGCAAGGAAGGCTCAGGGTGATTTAAACAAGTTGAGTAAGTGGGCAAACACGTGGCAGATAAAGTACAACGTGGCTAAGTTTGAAAGTATACACTTTGCTGTGAAAAAAAGTATTATTTAAATGGTGATATATTGGGAAATGTGAATGTAAAGGGGGATCTGGGTGTCTAATTAAAGTAGACAGGTGGGTGCATCAGCAGTTTAGGGAGGCAAATGATATATTGTCCTTCATGACATGACGCCTTGAGTTCAGAAGGAGTGTCTTACTGCAATTATACAGGGCCTTGGTGAGACTGAACTGGAGTAATGTGTACTGTTTTGGTCTCCCTACCTCAGAAAGGATATATTTGTCATTGAGGGAATGTAGTGAGTTTCACCAGGTTGATAGTGGGATTGGTAGCACTGCTTATGAAGAGAGTCTGGTTTGACTGGCTTGTCTTCTCAAGAGTTTAAAAGGATGAGAGAAGGTTGAAAAATATAAAATTCTGACAGGGCTAGATAAGGTGGATGTTTTCCCTAGTTGCGGAGTCTAGAACTGGGAGTCACAGTCTCAGTCCCACAGACCTCAATCAGTGAAGACAGGTAACTGCACCTCCTCCACAATAACACTCAACACTGGATCACCCAAAGATGCATCCTCAGCCCCCTACTGTACTTCCTGTACACCCGTGGCTGTGTTGCCAAATTCAGGATTTTCCAATCCAGTGGGATGAAGCCTGTATCTAGGGAACTCTGAAAGATTTTAGTTAGGGCATCTACAATGTATTACCTGACCACTTGGTCTAGTCTTCCTAAGACCAGCTATATTTTTCTTGATCATAGCTTCTAGCACAATAATAACTTTTGTGCATGTAAGATTCAGTTGTTCTGAGGCTTGTCACAGTGCCCACTCTACAATCACCACTTCAGCACATTATGCATGATGTGGGCATGGATTCATTAAAATTGCTTTTTATATCTTGAAGTTAAGTACATTTGTAAAGTTTCCTTTGATTATGCCAGTTCTACTTTTATGATTTGTTTTTGTCCTGACCTTTTGAGCTGATCCAACACAATACATACCTTCCATGTATTCACCTAAAGGTGTTTCTGTTCAGATCTAATTTCATTGTCTGGGTCAGTCTTTCTTCTGTGATAAAAGTTCTGGGTTTGTTTCTGATTTTGCATGTTTTCATGCGATAGTCTCATCATTAACTAAGGTATCCCATTAGTCATATCTAATTTGGTTGCCTGTCTCTTTCTGGAACTGTCATGTTCATTCAACTGTTAATATCTGATTAGTCAATCCCAATCTCAGTTCTGCTTTCCCTTGGAGGAGTCTTGCTTCAATAAAAGTGAAGGGTCATAGTCCTGATTGTCCCTCACTTTGTGTATCACTGTTCTGTGGGTGTAAAATGATATGAGAGAAATTGGCCAAGAATAACTCCTTCTTCAATGCTACAGCAACTTTGTGCCTTGTTTTGATATGAAGAACTAAATCTGTTCTGGATCTCTTTGTTTTAAGTCAATGATTTTTGAACATCCTCAGTTAATAGTTTCAATTGTACATAATCATTTAAGGTAAAGACAGAATTGCCTGGTTTGTGGGCAAGGCCCATAAATTTCAGCAATATTTTGTGAGAGAGTATATCTAAAATGTAAATGACCTCAAATGATTGTAGGATGATTGCTTTGAGTCTTTTTCTTCTGTTTTTCTTTCTTTTCTGTATTCATCTGTCAACCTTCTGCTTACACCTGTGATTCTCAAATCCAGGAAATGGATTTTCATTCTGAAAGGCCAACCTATTATATGTCCTGCTTCCCATCTTCCTAACCTTCGGCTCAGGTAAAACTCTGTGCTGTCTATTCTCTCACAAGTATCACCCCTGTACTCACCGACTGATACTGGTTCTCAGTGCCCCCTACCTCCAATTTAAAATTCTCATGCTCATATACAAATTGCTCCATGGCCTCAAACCCTTCCTAACTCTGTCACATCCAGCCCTATTTCCCTATCTAACGGTGGTCAAAATACAGAATGCTCTTTTTGAGGTTTGCTCAAAGGCTACGTTTCAATTTTCAGAGGTGCCTTAAAGCTGAAGTTTGAAGTGAGAAATCAAACTAGTGTGGAAGCGGCAGTTTGCAAACTTCACCCTCTGCGTCCATTAAACAAACGAGAGACTCAAAGCTGGGCAAGTGGCTAAGAATCCAAAAAACAATTCAACAGTTTTCCTGCATCACCACCAATCTCCTCATCCTTGTCCAGATGTCGATATTAAATCAAACTCTAGGCCTGGAATGTTGGCTGCTTCTGGATGGACTGGACTCCCAGCTTATCCAACACATCAAAAACACCCTTTCACTGACAGTCAGAAAGAGCCTGTCCTCAGACAGATGCGCCTGTAGCAGAGACATTGAAAGAAAATCATAAGGGGGAATGGAACAAAACTGGACATATTCCAGAATACTTTTTCCTCTGTTTGAGCCAGACCTGTCTGCATAAAGCTTTACTCACAATATAATTTACCAAATAATGGACTAACATAAAAGAGTTGCAAATTAATATAATTAAATAAATTAAGCTTTAAATGTGTAAAGTGAGTATTTTGAATGTTGGCTAAACCTTCTCACTGTCTGTCCTGCCACGCTATGTCCCCACTACTTCCACAACTTTCTCAATGTCTCTTTTTATTCCACTCCTCTGTCTATCTCATTCTGTACCTCTCATCTGCACATTCCCTCTGATCTTCCTTTCTCCCTCTCTTTCTATCTTCACTTTCCCTTCACTGGTTCTACTACCGTTCTCAAAACACAGTGGCTTCTGCACCAGCAGGAACATCTGTACCTACTGATGTCTTCCTTTGGTGATGTTTAGTAATCAGGTCAAAGGTACATTGATCTTGCTGGGAGATGGTGGAGAGGTTTGAGACAAACCCTGCTGAGACAGACAGTGGTTTGGAATGACAGCTCCCATGTGTAAGCACTGGAGGGTAAACAACACAGACAGCTCTCAGTATAACAGAAGCAGGTGACCCAGCTCCAAGTCGATGTGGAGATGTGGTGTCTGATCAGACAGGAGGAGGAGGAGGAGGTGAAACAATCCTGACGCAAGTCACACTGGAAGGGTTTGTCTGCTATGTGGGTTCACTGATGTTCCAACAAGTCTGTCAACTGTACCACAGAACTCACGGACAGGGTTTCTTCCCTATGTGAATGTGTTCATGGATCAGGACACATGTGCCAATGTGAAAGCCTTGTCACGCACATGAATGATTTGCCACCAATATAGATGTGATGTTACTTCAGGAGGTGAAAGAAGGAGCTAAAAGATTTGTCAGAAATATTACATCTGAAGAGTTTTCTCTGTGCAAATCCCCTCATTGGGCAGGAGGTTCCACAACTATGAAAATGAATAATCCCACAGTTTACACTTGAGCAGCCTGTCCGCCGTGTGAATATGTTAGCATGTGTGGAAAATCAATGACTGTAAGATGGAGTCGTCATTCACCTCACTCTTGAAGGGTTCCTCCCCTTTGTGAATCCGCTAATGTATCAGGAGTTCAGCGGATCTGATGAAAGACAAAGCTCACACTTGATCGTTTTCTCCACTCAGTGAGTGCTCACTGGTGGTCCCTCAGCAGTGTCAAAGATGTCACAAAGCTTTATCTTAAACCTCACACATGAATGGTCTCTCCACTGTGTGAATGTTGTTGTACACAGAGATGAATGATTTGTTCCACAACATGTTCTTAAGCGGTTTCTGCCACGTGAACGTGTTGGTGTTTGCGTACATGCGATGACTGTGAAAACGATTTGCCACACACCTCACACTTGAATGGTTTCTCCCCTGTGTGAATGCGCTGGTGTCGGTGGAGGTTCGATAATCGTGAGAATGATTTAACACACACCTCACACCTGAAGGGTTTCTCCCCTGTGTGAATTGTCTGATGGACCATGAGGCTCGATGACTGTGTGAAGGCTTTGTTGCACACCTTGCATTTGAATGGTTTCTCCCTTGTGTGAATGCATTGGTGTCGATGGAGGTTCGAGGGCCACAAGAATGATTTGTCACACACTTTACACCTGAATGGTTTCTCCCCTGTGTGGATCCTCTGATGTATTAGGAGCTTTGTTGATGTTACAAAAGCTTTATTGCAAACCTCACACCTGAATAATTTCTCCCCTGTGTGAATGTGTTGATGCCTGCGGAGGGTCGCCGAAACCGAGAATAATCTGTCACACACCTCACACTTCAATGGCTTCTGCCCTGTGTGAATGCGTTCATGTACACGGAGAGTTGATGAAACCGAGAATGATTTGTCACACACCTCACACGTGAATGGCTTCTCCCCCGTGTGAATGCGTTGATGTTTACGGAGGGTTGATGAGTCAGAGAATGATTTGTCACATACTTCACATGTGAATGGTTTCTCCCCAGTGTGAATGCGTTGATGGATCTGGAGACTGGTTAACTGCAAGAATGATTTGTCACACAGTTCGCATGGGAAAGGTTTCTTGCCCGTGTGAATAAGTTGATGTTTGCGCAGGGTTCCTGAGCGCGAGAATGATTTATCACAGACTTCACATGTGAATGGTTTCTCCCCCGTGTGAATGCGATGGTGGATCTGCAGGTTTGTTAACCGTGAAAATGATTTATTGCACACCTCACATATGAACGGTTTCTCCCCTGTGTGAATCTGCTGGTGTCTGCGGAGGGTTGATAAGCCCGAGAAAGACTGGTCACACAGCTCGCAAGAGAATGGTTTCTCCCCTGTGTGAAAACGTTGGTGTACACGAAAGTCAGATGAGTTTAAGAATGACTTGCTGCACACATTGCATGTGAACAGCTTCTCTCCTGTATGAATCGTCTGATGCATTAGCAGCCTTGTAGATGTTGCGAAAGCTTTATTGCAAACTGTACACTTAAAGTGTTTCTCCCCTGTATGGACTGTACAATGGACCTTGAGACTTGATGACCGTGTGAATACTTTATCACACACCTCACACGTGAACAGTTTCTCCCCATTGTGAATGTGTCGGTGTTTCCGGAGCATTGACACCTGTGCAAAGTCTTGGTGACACACCTCACACTTGAAATGTTCCTTTTCCATGTGGCTGTAGAACAGAAGCACCTTGTGTTTCAGGAGAACTTTATGAGCCCATAGAGCACTCTGCATACACGTCACATTTGAAAAGCCTCTCCCCTGTAGGAATGAGTCAGTGGTCCATGAGGCTTGATGAATGAACGAAGCTGTCACCACAGTTGGAGCCACTCACACTTCTTCCCAGCCTCGCCCTGACTGATCACCCACAACCGAACCTTCAGAAAGGTTGGTTCTGATGGAAGGCTCCACCCACTGGCCAGTTTCGGATCTGATGATATCTCAAAGCTCCCCTGATCTGACTGATTTCCAGATGATACTTTCACTTCCCAACCTTCTCTATGTTGAGCAATGTTGTGAAGGGACTGGATGTCTTTCCACAGTTGTGCAGTTGTTCCTTAGATGATGGTCAGGATCTATCTACAGTGTCCATCCTGTCTGTATTCTCTGGTGTAGTGCAGTACAATTCTTCTGACTTCTCAGTTTAGAGACTGTTCCACAGTCAGTGCCAGTCTGCTACTCCCCTGTGTGGGGGATCAGATACAAATCCTTTCTTTTACCTCACTTGACAGACACACACCATCTGTTTCCAGCATGGCCACTGCATAGTGACCAGCAGCAGACAATATGGCTACTTTGTTTTCTCTTTCCAGCCCCTCTCTTCCCAAATGCTGTGAGGACAATAGAAATTCCAAACAGGCAGTGTGTTAAAGGGCTATCTCATTACAATGTGCTCAATTTGTTCTACAGAAGTATGCTTTATATGTTAAACACAGTCAGAGGAAAAGTTATTTCAATGGAGATTCTGAAAATTTTCACTTGGTTTCACCACACGGGGCTAGAAGGTAAGAAAAATATTGCTTCAGAGTGGCTGATTGAAGGGCTCTGGTTTATCCTGAGAAATTAGATACACTGCATTCACTCAGACGGCACATCCCAAATTCAGTTATCAGCCACAACACTGGGCAAAATGATCAAATCCAAGCCAGGCTTTTGGGAAAGGCTGAGGCCTTCAGGTAAAATCTATAAAGAAAGCATAAAAATAACTTCAACAAATGTGTCTCTAGGTTTGGCAGCTAAATTGCTGTGGTGATCGATTAACAATCCAGAGATTGAGAGTTCAAATCCAGTGCAGAAAGTTACATACACAGAATTACAGTGAGAAACAGGCCATTCAATCACACTAACGATATCCAGTCATTAGCTATCAACAAAACTCAGCCGAGAAATCAGAAGGGAAATGCTCCCAGTAAAAACACTGAATATCCAACACATAGCTCCAGTCAAACAGTTCAGCACAAAGCACCGAGTAAACAGCTCTCTCAGCTGGATCTTCTCACACACCATAAGGGACATTTCCACCCCGATTGCCCACAGGATAGTCAGACTGCCTGAAGATTGGTGTGGATATTATGGGATACAATTTGTATAAAAGCTGCTCCTTCACTCACCATCTCCTCACTTGGTTTTCAGTCCCTATAGGAAGTGAACCAGCTCTGGAAGAGGAAGAGGTGGGAATGGGCAGAGTGGGTGGGCTCTCTGATTGACGTCTCTCACAGTCAATCCAAATATTTCTGCAGCAATGTGAGTTTCCTGAAGCTTGGGAAACTGACCGGTGAAATGGAGGTGACTTTGAGCAGCAGATCAGGTGGAGATTTAAACTTGTCAGTGTCCCATTGAATAAAACCTCACTTATTGCAGCTGGTGTTTCAGTTCCCTTGGTAAATGTTTGACAGATTTTTAGTGTGGGAACAGCATTCTTCATCCTCGGAGGCTTTCAAACTGACTCAGTGTGGGATGTGTATCCTCGGATGTTTTTGGCAGCAGATCAGAAGAGGAAGACCCACAGCATCCAAGGCAGTGACGGTGTGCAGTGGTGGGATCAGCACATGCACAGGAGAGAGTGACACATTTGGAGGCACACAAGGGCGAGGGGCACAGAAGGGAGTGAGAGAGGAGACTGATTGTCTGTAGGGTTCTATGATACTTGTGTGTGGTTTCAATGACTCAGAGAGTAAGACATGACTCATTGTGTGAGTAGCTACCCAATGAGTTGACACCTAACAGCCTGGCCCTGTCTAGCAGTCACTTCCTGTAGAGGTTCAGCTCTCTTCAGCTCCAATTTCTGAGTCTCAACATTCACCTCATCTGGTGCCCTTTGCCTCTCCCAGCATGTCCCTGTCCACTCACCTCTCGTAGAAATGTTGAAAATAGAAGCTGTAGTTGATAATTGAGCCTTTCAAGCTGCTGCACAATTCAATCTGATCATGGCTGATCATCCAACTCAATACCTTGTACCCACTTTCTCTCAAATCCTTTGATTCCTTTAGCCCTATTTTACTCCTTCTTGAAAACATCAATGTTTTGACCTCAACAACTTTCTGTTGCAGGGAATTCCACAGGCACACCACTCTGATGAGAACATTTTTCCTCATCTCAGTCTGAAATTGCCTACTCTGTATCCTTAGACTGTGACCCCTGGCTTTGGACTCTACAGTCATTAGAAACATTCTTCTTGTGTTTACCTTGTCTATTCCTTTTAGAATTTTATAGGTTTCCATGAGCTTCCCCCTCATTCCCCCTCTGCTGCTTTGGAAAAGCAACTGACGTAATCAAAGACCCCTCCCACCCCTGTTATTCTCTCTTTCACCTCTGTTGGGCTGAAGATATAAGTTGTAAAAACCAATGAACAAAGAAGAACAAAGGGACAGGGACAGGACCTTCGGCCCTCCAAGTCTGCCCTGCCACATTTTGCCCTTCCATGCTAAAACAGTCTTCACTTACAGGATCCGTATCTCTCTATTTGCTTCCTTTAATGTATTCATCCAGGTGCTTCTTGAATGCTGCTATTGTGTCTGCTTCCACCACCTCCTCTGGCAGCGCATTCCAGGCACTCACCACCCTTTGTGTGAAAAATCTGCCTCGTACATCTTTTTAAATATTCCCTCTCGCTCCTTGAACCTGTGTCCCCTAGTAATTGACCCCTCCACCCTGGGAAAATCCTCATATCTTCCAGTCTATCCATGCCATTCACATCTTAGAAACCTCTATCAGGTCACCTCTCAGCCTCCTGCATTCCAGTGAAAACAAAGCCAAGTCTATCCAACCTTTCTTTGTAGCTAAAATCTCACACTAGGCAACATCCTGGTAAACCTTATCTGTACCCTCTTCAAAGCAACCACATCCTTCTGGTAGTGTGGTGACCAGAAATGTGCTCAATGTTCCAAGTGTGGCTTAACTAAAGTTCTATAAAGCTGCAGTATAACTTGTCTATCCTTATACTCAATGCCCCTTCCAATGAAGGCAAGCGTGTCATAAGCCTTTTTTACTACCTTGTCTACCTGTGCTGTCACCTTCAGTGATCTATGGACCTGCATACCCAGATCCCTCTACATATCAATACTCCTAAGGGTTCTGCCATTCACTGTATAATTTCCACCTGTACTTGACCTTCCAAAATGCATGCCCTGATACTCTTCTGAAACAATGGGGCAACATTGGCTATTCTCCAGTCCTCTGGGACCTCATCTGTGGCCAAAGAGGATAAAAAGATGTCTATCAATGCTCCCGCAATTTGTTTTCTTGCCACCTTCAATATTCTGGGATAGATCCCATCAGGACCCAGGGACTTATTTACATTAATACTTTTTAACACAGACAACACCTCTTCCTTTTTATTATTGGCTTAGAAACTCAACACTCCCCTGAGATCATCCTCCACCAATTCCTTATGTTTGGTGAATAATGATACAAAGTATTTGTTTAGGACCTCACCTAACTCATTTGGCTCCATACATGGATTCCCTCCTTCGTCCTTGAGTCGGCCAACCCTTTCTCTGGCTACCCTCTTGCTCTTTATACATGTATAAAAAGCCTTGGGATTCTCCATAATCCTGTTTGCTAATGACTTTTCCTGACACCTTTTAGCCCTTCTAATTCCTTGTTTAAGTTCTTTCCTACTTTCCTTATATATTTCCAGGGCTTCATCAGTTCTCATCCTCCTAGACCTTATGTATGCCTCCTTTTCCTTTCTGACCAAGGTCATAACATTCCTGGTCATCCAAGGTCCACGTAACTTGCCATACCTATCCTCCATTCTCGCAGGAACGTGCCACTCCTGAATTCTTATCAACTGCCATTTCAAATACTCCCACGTGTCCGATTAGATTTACCCTCAAACAGCTGCCTCCAATCAGCATTCTCCAGTTCCTGCCTAATATTGTTGTAGTTCGCCTTGCTCCAATTTAACAGCTAAACCCGCGGACTGCTGTTATCTCTATCCATGAGTATCTTTAAACTCACAGGATTATGGTCACTACTCCTGAAAAGATCCCCCACTGAAACCTTACTCACCTGGCCGGGCTCATTTCCCAAAACCAGGTCCAGTATAACCACTTGAGAATACAAGGTGCAGGGCTGGATGAACACAGCAGGCCAAGCAGCATCATAGGAGCAGAGAGGCTGACGAAGGGTCTAGGCCCGAAACGTCAGCCTCTCTGCTCCTATGATGCTGCTTGGCCTGCTGTGTTCATCCAGCCCTGCACCTTGTTGTCTCGGATTCTCCAGCATCTGCAGTTCCTACTATCCCAGTATAACCACTTCCTTGGTTGGACTGTTTACATTTTGTGTTGAAAGTCCCTCCTGAATGATCCCTACAAATTCTAACCCATCCAAGCCCCTAGCATGTAGTGAGTCCCAGTCAATACAGGGGAAGTTAATATCACCTACCACAAACCTGCTGTTTTTACATCTTACCAAAATCTGTCTATATATTCTCTCCTCTATCTCTCCTCTATCTCCCGCTGGCTGTTGGGAGACCTGTAGTATGCCCTCAGCATTGTGATTACACCTTTCCTATTCCTGAGTTCTACCCATGTTGCCTTGCTGCACGAGTCCCTGATATATCATAGTACAGCTGTGAGATAGTCCTTTACCGGTAGTGTAACTCCCCCACCCCTTTTACTTCCCTTTTTATCACTCCTGAAACATTTAAATCCTGGGACATTCAGCTGTCCAGTCCTGTGTCCCTCTTTTAATCAAGTCTCTGTAATCGCAATAATGTCATAGTTCTAAGTACTAACCAAAGCTTTAAGTTCATCTACCTTGCCTATTATACTACTCTCAGTGAAACATATGCATTTCAAACCACCTCCCCCACTGTTTTCAGCAGCATTTCCCTGCCTGTTCTTGATCTTAGTCATGTTTGCCTTGGTTTCTACCTCTGCCTCAATTTCTGCATCTACCACCCGACTCGTCTGGTTCCCGTCCCCCTGCCACATTAGTTTAAACCCTCCCTAACCACTCTACCAAGTATCCCCCTCAAGGACATCAGTCCTGGTCCTGCCCAGGTGTAACCCATTCAGTTTGTACAGGTCCCACCTCCCCCCCAAGAACTGGTTCCAATGCCCCACAAATCTGAAACCCTCCCCCTCACACCACCTTTTCAGCCATGTGTTCATCCTGTATATTCTGTTGTTTCTACTCTGACTAGCTTGTGGCACTGGTAGTAATCCTGAGATAACTACTTCTGAGGTCCTACATTTCAATTTTCTTCCTAGTTCTCTATATTCTGCTTTTAGGACCTTATCCCTTTTTTTAACCTATGTCGTTCGTACCAATGTGTACCATGAGCACTGGCTGTTTGCCCACCCGCTCCAGAATATCCTGCAACCGCTCCAAGAGATCCAGGACCCTAGCATAGGATGGTAACACACCATCCTGGACTTTTCGTTTGTGGCCACAGAAATGCCTATCTATTCCCTTTACAATTGAATTCCCTATAACTATAGCATTTCTATGCTCATCTCTCCCTCCAGTTGCCATGAATTTGGCTGCCTCTGTTATCCCCTGAGAGGTCATTCCCCTCAACAGTATCCAAAATGGTATATCTGTTTTGCAGGGGAATGACGACAGGAGATTCCTGCACTGCCTGCTTCGCCCTCCTGCTCTGGCTGGTGGTCACCCTTTCCCTTCCTGCCTGTGGAGGCTGAGTCTGCGGTGTGACCACCTCTCTATACGTGCTATCAACGACACTCTCTGCCTTGAGAATGCTCCACAGTGTCCCCAGATTCCGCTCCAACTCCGAAACTCAGGCTTCCTGGAGCTGCAGCTGGAGACACTTCTTGCACACATGGAGTGTCTGGCTTCCCATATCGAGCAAAAGGAGCAGAATACAATTTGGAGCTCTCCTGCCATGTCATAAGTTAATTAATCTTTACGATGTTAAATATCTTTAATACTAAGTTGAAGCGTCTGATGCTGTCTGCTCCAATAACAATTTCTCAAAACTTTACCAGTTACTGACCAAGACTTCTACTTCCTTATTCTACACCCTGCTAATGAAGGTAGGCATCCTATGTGCCTTTTTCACCCCATGCCTTTGCTAATACCTCCAGAGATCTATGGACTTGTACACCTTGCACAGTGGCTCAGTGGTTAGCACTGCTGCCTCACAGCGCCAGGGACCTAGGTTTGATTCCATCCTTGGGTGACTGTC